CAGTTTTTTGCACTATTTATTAAATTAAATTGCACTAATTATTAAATTTTACAAACGTTTCAAGGCTTGGTTTGTCTCATCATCAGTGCAATATATTTTATATTTAATCACTAAGATCTTCGAGTCATAAGTCGTGCATCGGATAACACGGACCTTCTAGGACATATTTTAATGATTAAATATTAAATATATCACACTGATGACGAAACGCACCCAAGCTCGAAACGTTAGTAAAATTACAATATGTAATAAATAGTAAAATGAGTGTTAATTTTAACAAGTTTAATAAATCTATACGAGGGAAAGGGAATCATCATTTTGTGTTGCTCTCTCACCATAGACCTGCCTTCGAGCAGACAACTAAGGGGGCGTCCATTAATCACGTGAGCGAGTTTTTGAGGATTTTTGAACTCCCCCTACCCCTTGTTGATACATGGTGATATTCACAATTAACCCTCCCCCTCCCCCACCAAACAACAAGTGTATATTTAATTAGGTGAAAAAACTGTAAATTTTTTGATTTTTTTTGAAAATGTTTAAATTTTTTTAAAAAAATTAGATAAAAAATAAATACTCGTGATATCTTACTATACCCCTCCCTCTCTCACGAGATATTTTGTGATTTTTTGTTGTTAGTAGTATATTGATTCACTATCAATATAAACCGATGACTTCTTAGTTAGTTGTACTTGAACTCCCTTCAAGTCGATTTTTTAAACTTGACCTAAAACGGCTATATTTAATAGGATAATTCGCTTCACGAAGATAACGACATTAAACCAATAAGAAGCAGCATTCTTATTAAAGGAACTTAATTAGAATATATACTATATATTCGCAAAATATATCATATATTTGTAATATATTTTATATATATCGCAATTTCGAATTCCGCCTGCACGCGAATTGTAGCCTGCAGGCGAGTAGCAGTGGTAAAATTCAAGGAAAATTGGAAAATCTCGAGAAAATTATATGAATACACTTAACAATTTATATTCGTAATTTTATTAGAATATTTATTATATTTTATATAAAAATGTATTATAGTAAAATTTTCTATTATGTTAGTCAGTAACACACTTTGAAGTAAGGAGGCGTCCATTAATCACGTGAGCTTTTTAGGGGGAGGGGGGGTTTGACAAAAAATCACAAAATATCATGAGAAGAGGAAAGGGTATAGTAAGATATCACGTGTATTTATATTTTACCTGATTTTTTTTAAAAAAAATCCAAACATTTCCCGAAAAATAAAAAATTTTACAAATTTTTCTCGTAACTAAAAATAGACGTGATGTTTGGTGGCGTAGGTGGGGGGGGGGATAATTTCGAATATGACCAAGGGAGGACTACAAGTCCAAACATAAAGGACTACAAGTTTAGGATTGTTCATATTAAAAATTAATTAGTTGTTTTTAGCATTATGCCTTAAGGCAAGATGCATGAATTTCTAGGCACGTGTAAATAATCGACTTAATCATAAGAATTGAAATTTAGCTATTTAGATAAAAACGAAAACAATGTTTTTTTTTCAGAAGTTAATAAACTTCATAAAAATAATTGTTTCACCATATAAAACATCCGTATCCAATAATTAAAAATTACTCCTCACACAATAATAAATCTGATAGATTACCTTCATTCAATCATTGAAACAATACTTCTTATAAAAAATTGGTGCACTATATATTTATTTCCCGCCATAAACGAAAGATAAGTTCCATAAAAAATCGTGTAACTCGAAAAATTCGCTTTTATTTGAAAAAAAAAACCGTCACAATGGAAAGCTTTATTTGTCAGCTTTTAATATAATGAATAACAAACACATTAAACGCAAAATATTAATATATTTATTATCAAACACATTCAATAAATTATAAGAATGTCATTGTAACTTCTTTCAATAATAAAACAAATATGAAACATTGTCTTTTCATTGTTCTCATTGTAGCTTTCTTCAAAGAATGAAAACTAGTAACATCTATTGTTCTTACATTATTACGGAAACGATTCAAAATTTCAATTTTGGTTTATAAATATATAACTTGCCATTGTCGAACTATAAATTTTATTTATAAATTATAGATTTTGTTAAAAATAGCTCTGTCATTTGCTTACCTTGAATAAATTTACGCTATCAATTATGCTCTTTGTTTTAATATTTCAAACAAACTAGCTTATACACACATAAAATTTAGTTTTGATCATAAAACAGGAAGTTTCCATCTTAATCTACAGATTTCCATCATAGACATGGACTACTAAGAATTCGCAAAAGTAAAAAAATTAAAACATTGTAAATATAATCAAATTATAGTTTAGTGTTTATATTTTCGTGTAGATTAATAATAAATAAATTTCGTTAAAAAAATATTTTCAAAACCGTGTAAGATCGAAAACTTGTAAAACGAGTAGTGTGTGTATGTGTATGTGTGTGTGCGGATGCAAATTTTCGTCGACGATTTCGGGAACACCGATGAACCGATTTGAACAATTCAAAAAACATTCGATTCGTATTGATAAAGAAACGTACTGATTTTTGGCAAAGGCCAAAAACGTTAACTCAGTTTTTAGGAGAACGGAACGTACGATTTTAATAATTCAGAACACATTTTACTTGTAGTCACAAGGTGAAGAACTGACTAAATTTGAAAGGCAGGTCTAGCGGTTTCGGAGATCCAGTAAAAAAGTAGAAAAAACGCCATTTGGCGGTCAGAAATTATCATTCGACATATGCACATCAAATTATCAGATATTTTATATAGATTTTAATGTGTATTAGTTTTGATTACATTTCTATGAGTTCCGTAACATCGTTTGTCCGTTAGAAGTTGATGCGGCGCTTACGCGCTTCAATATTTCGTCTCTATGGAGCTAAAGCAGTGCGATTGCTTTGAAAAAAAAAAATCAAAATTTCCAAAATATTTCAAAATTAAAAAAACATTTTTTTTCCAAAAAAGTATTTTCAAAATTTTAAAATTTCTCAAAAATCTATTTATCAAAAATTAATGTTTTAAAATTCAATTTTTGGTACTGGAAGTTCGAGTAAATTGCCTCAAGGCACGATACCATACACCACTACTTAATGTTGCATTGACAAGAAATTATAAACACCAAACTACAACTCGCTTATATTTATAATAACATTTTCATTGTTTCACTGTCAAACAATACAACACTTCAAAATTTTCTGTTACATTTACAAAATCTTATTGTTACCAGTTTATGTCTACGATGAAACTATGCAGATAAATTAGAATACTCCGTTTTATGATCAAAACTAAATTTTATTAATTTTAGTAATTCATTTAATATGTTTAATATTAAATATATTAATACTCATTTTTGTTCAATGTGGTTATTAATCATCTTAATAAAAACTGACAAAACTAGCTTTTTTATAGCGGTTTTCGTTTAGCGCGGTTTTTCCATATAAAAGTGAATTTTTCGAGTTACACGGTTTTTTATGGATAGGGATCTCCTTCCGCGGAGGATAGGTGTATTTTAGATAACTAAAATATTACGTCTTGTAATTTCTTTTTTTAGAGGATCAGTTCGGTTGCACTATCGGGTAAATGCAGGGCCGGTTCTGCGATGCATGCAAAAAATGCGGGCGCACGCCTGAGGGGGCGCCAAAACAAGTTTTGAAAATTAAATTTATGATATATTATTTATATTTTTTATTATTTATATAAAACCTAAAATACTAAATAAATTATAATAAACAATGTAACTTAACAAGGGATAGGGAGACACAAAAAGCATATTTATTTTGCCATGTGATATCAGTAGAAACAATTAACCGATTAATAACTATGCAAGTCAGTAAATAACAACTCTGTTTATTGCTTAATCTACTTGTTCAATTTTGTCTTTGTTTGAAGTTACCGTGTAATCGAAAAAGAAATTATCTAGTGTTCAATCCCGTAAGCGCAAACCTGCGAAAGATTAAATTAGTTATTGGACATTATTGACGAAAAATTGCGAGCTGATTTAGTTGAAACGGAATTTTTTTAAAAAATATAAACAAATTATAATCGAAAAAATGAAAAATGGGGTGTCAGTGCTTAGAAAATGGCATGTTTATTCCGAGAAATTTAATTGTAACTTTTGTTTTTGTTGCAAATGTTTCTCAGCTGATGAACTTTGAATGTTGAAGACATGCGTGGTTATGGTTATGAAATAGCACAAATATAAAAAATGAAGCAAAATTTACTTGGAACGAAAATCTTATAGTTTTTTTTATATCTGGTGGTGTCCATACTCTAAATTTATGAATTATTAACTATGCAGAAATAATACATATCAAATATAATTAGTTTTTCAATATAGTTCAAGAAATGTGTAATTTATTAGCATTTTTTTACTGATTTTTGGACAATACTTCTAAAATACGTTAAAAAATGATCACAATCACAATTAAGGCAATCTGATACTCTGAATATGACGAGAAAGCAAGGATGAATACAATTCGGGTCTTACGATATCAATAAGGAGAAGTTTACGACTCAATTGTGGATATTGTAAATAATGAAAAAATAAAATTTAAAAAATCCAACATGAAATACGAGTGTTATAATTGAAAATAAAAAGCTAGTTTTTTTAGTTTTTCGGCATGATTTGCTCAATAGAATAAATCGAATGATAAATAAGTAAAATGTTTCAAAACACAAATATTAATATTGCACATACGTTAAAAATAATTGAAAATTTAAAAATATTTGATTATAATCAACCCACGAATCGCCTCGATTTTCTAGATAAATTTAAAATCAATCTATTTCATACGCTTTTAGATTATATCTAATTTTTTGTGTACTAAATCCAGAATAATTAAAAATTAATTTAAAAAAAAATGTAAATGTTTATATAATTTTAATGATAATTAACAGAGGGGGGGGGGGGCGCTAGAAAAAAAGTTGCATACGGACGCTAAGGACCCCAGGACCGGCCCTGGGTAAATGCGTTACAAAAATAAAATAGATAAAAGTAAAAAATCTTACCTCCGATTGAGAGAGTCCTCCACCTCGTCTTTCTTTTCGTTCCTTTCTTGCCCATGTGTACTAAGCGGCTTCTCCTTGTAAAGCATAAACTTCTAACGATTCGATTCTACCTTAACGAAGCATCCTACAGGACATCCTCGCCCGATCTTGGTGGATCACGTGGTCGCCTTCACGCGATCATAACAGTATCAAGTAAAATAACTCAATTTTATCGTTTTAAAAAAAATCACCAAATCACTTTACAAAACACACCTCGTTGGTAAACGAACTTTAGTAACTTTAATTTTCGCGGATCCGGCGGGATTAACTGCAACAAAAAAAAATAATAAAAGTCAGATATATTTATGTGAACTTAACAAAAAAAAAAGAAGTGATTAAGTAATTGGGTATATTTTTATATTAAACTAGTTCCTACTAGTGATATGTTAACGCACGAGGTGCCGTCGAGCAACTGAATGTGACAAATCACGTGCTACCGCTTAACTAATAACTCGTAGATTTCTCCTACTCTACTGATGCATGCGGTAACGCATCTTGCGTCGCCGTCTAACGCACCGACGATACTCGTACGAAGCAAAACGACGAACCGGCAGCGGCATGCTTGCGCTCGGTCATCTACAAAGTACGATACGCCGCCGTACGCACCGTTTTTTGGAAATGGGAAATGCATCATGCGCTTTTTTGCATTTTTGGGTGATTATGCGAAAGTTATCAAATAAAATTCAAGACTTTATTTATATAGCTTATATTTGTAACAATGCGCAAAAATCATTAAGAACTAGCTGTAAGTGGAATTCTGTGTTAAGGCAATTAAGGCATCGTGCCTTAGGGCAAATTGCTCGAACTTTCCGTACCAAAAATTATTATTTTAAAAAACAATTAACATTTTTGAAAAAAATTTACTTCTAAAAAATTAGATTTTTGAGAAACTATAAATTTGACAAAAAATTATTTTTTTTTAAAAAAAATTTTTTTTCTTGAAAACAAAATTTTTTGAAAAGAAAAATGTTTTCTTCATTTTGACATATTTTGGAAATTCTGAACTTTTTTTCAAAGCAATCTATTGCTTGAACTGCATAGAGACGAAATGTCAAAGCGCGTAAACGCCGCGTCGCCGTCTAACGGTTAAGCATTGGTACTGAACCCATAGGAATGTAAACAAAATTTATACTTACTGTTAAAATCTCTATAAAATATCTGATAATTTGATGTGCATATGTCTAATAATCATTTTTGACCGCCAAATGGCATTTTTTTCAGTTTTTTCACTAGATCTCCGAAACCGCTACACCTGCCTTCATGAAAATTTGATCAATTCTTCATCTTGGCAATACAAGTGAAATGCTTTTTGAATTATTTAAATCGGACGCTCCGTTCTCTTAAAAACTGAGTTACCGTTTTTGGCACTTTTTGCCCCGTATCTTCGGAACGGCTAGACCTGCTTCCGCCAAAAACTATTCAGCACGTCTTCTTATCAATACGAATCGAATGTTTTTTGAATTATTCAAATCGTGCGTATGCATGTATGTATGTGTATGTATGCGAGGATACAAATTTTCGTCGGCGACTTCAAGAACATTGATCAACCGATTTCAATGATTCAAAAAACATTAAATTTCTATTGATAAGGAGGCGTGCTGGTTAGTTTTTGGCAAAGGCAGGTCTTTAGCCGTTTAGATGATACAAAGCAACTAGCTGTAAGTGGAATTCTGTCTTAAGGCAATTAAGGCATCGTGCCTTAAGGCAAATTGCTGGAACTTCCCGTACCAAAAATTATTATTTTTTTAACATTTTTGAAAAAATTTTACTTCGAAAAAATAAGTTTTTTGAGAAACTATAAATTGGACAAAAAATTACTTTTTTTTGAAAAAAAATTTTTTTTTCTTTATTTTGACATATTGTGGAAGATCTGAACTTTCTTTTCAAAGCAATCGTACTGCTTTAACTGCATAGGGACAAAATATAAAGCGCGTAAGCCCCGCGTCAATGTCTAACGCATAAGCATTGGTACGGAACCCATAGGAATGTAAACCAAAATGTATACTTATTGTTAAAATCTCTATAAAATATCTGATAATTTGATGTGCATATGTCTAATGATCATTTTTGACCGCCAAATGGCTCATTTTTTTACTTTTTCCTCCATATCTCCGAAACCGCTAGACCTACCTTCATGAAAATTTTATCGATTCTTCATCTTGTCAATACAAGTAAAATGTTTATCGAATTGAGCATCCGATTTGGAAAATTCAAAAAACATTTTACTTGTATTGATGAACTGATGAATTTATTAAATTTTTGGGAAGGCAGATCCAGCGGTATCGGAGATCTGATGAAAAAAAGTTAAAAAATGCTATTTGGCGGTCAAAAATGATCATGAGACATAGATCATTTTACATTTTTCATTGGATCACCGAAAATATGCTTTACTTTGTTAGCATAGATTCTAATTAGAATCGGTCAAGCTCACGGCGTAATTGTAGACTTTGATGAATTTTTATAATTCAACCATTTATCGTTAACCTATAATATTTCAGTAAATTGCTTACTTCAGACTACAATTTCTATCGTTATACAAAGTTTCATCAAAATCATCAAAAAAAAAATCAAAATTTAATTACGAAGAAAATGCTTGGCCGATATTAGTTCAAAGAAAATGATTAATGCAATTCCCAATCAATATCTTTCGAAAAGTTTTTGAATTTTTAAAATAAAAAAATTGTGGACTAAAACATGGACAAAAAAATTAACACTATTCAGCTAATTACAAAGAAACGGCTTGATCGATCGCCACAAAGATCAAAGCTAGTCTTTATCGAATTGAGCCATATGGCTTTTAATTTTATAAAATTGGTTTTAAGAAAATGCAGACAAGAGATAAATCATTTCACATGCACACACATACTTTTTCCAAATTTGGTCTTATTCAAATCAGAATGACTTAAAACACCAAGAAATCATAAACGCGAAAACAAATTTCTTCTTCGGAAAAATTAATTCCACTGCACATTCCACTGATTTTTTTATTTCAATGAATTTACTAAAGTAAAGAGTACAAGGAGTAAAAAAATAATTCTCTCGTGAATTATGAGACGTTGACAATTATATGAGCAAAATACATGATACGTCAAGTCTGAACACGAACACTGAATTTTATAAAAAGTGTGCAATAAATCCACAGAATTAATGTTTAATTGTAATATTACGTTCTTAATGTCTTCTACGTATGTAACAAGTTTTTAAAAGTGAGCAAAACAGGAAAAAATTAAAAAATTAAATAATACTATTAAGTAATACTACTTTTTCGTGAACGTCGCCGATTATGAAAAGTGGGAAGAAAGCATTTGTCTTTTGGGCAGTTATGTCAGTTATAAATTTAAAATTACGTGCAGGAATTGAAACATTTTATGTTAAATTAAACATTTTATTTTACAAATAACACTACTCTAAAGTGCAAAGAAGGCGAACGGACCTAGCGGTCTCACGCTACATATGCGTGCATAGCAGTGTATGTGTAAAGTTTCAAATTTGTTTTTCACTATCCCAAAAAATAGACAAGCACTTATCGTGTTATTACATTTTAGATTTTTAACTTCCTGTGGACGAGTTATAGAAATTGCAAAATAAAGAAAATGAAAAATTTTGCATATCTTTACCTTTCAGGGGTTTCTGAACATTTTGGCATATCTTAGAAAATATGGATGTATGTTGGGTGTAAGCGTATGTATGTGCGGATACAATTTTTCGTCCAATATTTCGAAAGCACTGATCAAACGATTTAAATGTTTCATATTACATTTCATTTGTGAATTGAAAAATTGATGGGATTTTTAGTAAGGCAGGTCTAGCGGTTTCGGAGATCCAATGAAAAAAAGGTCAAAAAATGCCATTTGGCGGTCAAAAATTATTACACATATGCACATTAAATTATTAGATATTCTAATTCTATAGAGATTTTAGTAATAAGTACAAATTTTATTTTAAAGGAGCTTTGTGTTAAATAACTTGATTATTGAATTGCGGACTTTTAGTAGTAAGTACCTATGATGTTATATCATCTTATCGATCTATGTTTTTTTTTGCTTTTGAGCCTTGTATCAAATTTTCTTTATAATTAACTTGAAAAATTACCACTTGTGTGTTCGTTTTTATACCATTGTTAATGTTTGTGAAATTAACACTTTCCACTCGCGAATTGCGAGATTTATATGAATTTTCTCGCCGGAGCGGCGGCATCCGAGTCGAAAGGGTTATTATCAAGTACTTTTCAACAATCCGGGACAAATGATCTAAATCCGGGACAAATATTGCTTTTAGAAATACCCAAGGCACAAGATGGAAATCCGGGACAGTCCTGGCCAAATCGGGATGTATGGCCACCTTACTTAAGGCACAGTGCCATGCATCACTAGTCTCGACTAAAACGATCAATTGAATTGTAAATTCAAGCACACCAAGCAAAACTCCGTATTCAATACAAATTCAGATAAAATAGAAATAAAAACGATACCATTCACAGTGTTATTTCAGCCCATATTTCGAGAGCAACTTCAAAGGTATTTTTCCTGTGACTAAGAACATTACCTATGTAGACTGAATTATTTTCACATAAACGCAACACGGGAAAATGATTGTAGGCCAACAAATTCCGACAAGTAACACGTTTCGAGTGCCAATATTCGACTGATTTAATATTCGGGCAATGCTAGTACAAAATATTATTACGCATACGACACACATTATACACAGCCGATAAAAATGCGAAAACAAATACGAACATTTTTAATCAGTTATTGCATAACAAATCAATCTTACTATAACAAATAAATAATTTACAAGTGAGTGTCCCACAAGAACATTAAGGATCAAATATTTGCTCGCAAGATTATATGAATTTTATCAAGTTTCATGTTTTGCAGAACTCCATGTAATTAATGCCAAGAAAACTGACTCTCGGTGATAAGATTCCCTCAAACTCTAATGAAAACATTAAAAATATTTTATTTCAAGATCTTTAATATAAATCAAGGTTCTTTAACACCATGTAAAGATATTAGTGACTAAATAAGTTTAAATAAGTTCGAACAATTAGTAAGTTAGTTGTTTAAAAGTACACAGAATATGTTTTCTAATCCATGTCTAGTTTATTTAATATTATACTAAAAAAATAATATTTTTATAAGTATAAAGTACGGTAAACTGGATACGTTCGTACCAGTGACGAATTCATTAAGGTCCCAACGTAGAAACATGAAGTATGTTTGTTCGAACAAGTTTCCATTATTGCATTGTATCAGTGCCCTACAT